CTCTTTTCTGTGGGATGAGCCCTTCGTCTTCGACACTTAGACTAATTTTTAGAGTAAGAGTAAGGACAGATCCACCCCATACGTGGATACGAGAAGTTCGAGAGAAAATGTTATCGTCTTCTCAAGTTTTAAAAATCCAAAGTGTTGTTGTAAAATATCTTCTAAGTTTTGAAAAGTAAATATAAACGTTTCGATTGGATTATCTAATTAAATTGGTGTTCGTGTTCAATTATTTTTATTCGAAAATTCCCGCACTTGTGGAGCAGAGTGCTTTAGCGCTCCACGGGCATTGGACCTGCCATGGGTGCGTTTCGGAATCAACTACCGTAGCTGCAGTAAAGCGAAATTAGATAGGGTTACAGTACTGCTACTGCTACTAAGTCGATTGCGAAACGCGCCCCATCTGTTCAACGGAGAACCAGCTTGGAACGTAACAACGGGTATGGGGCTCTTGCCGCAGAACGCCGAACAGCACCGCCTATGGCGCTATTTGGCTCTATTAATACGAGAAGCCGATGAGCGGTTCCCTTATCGCACGTCTCAAGAACGGTGGTGGAACCGCGCGCCTACTGACAGGTTAAAAAAAGTCGATAGTAAAGAGATCGGTTTGCATAAAATATATTTTTGGCCTCGTCACTCCGACTCTCAACTGACTCTCAGTTTTCTCTGAAACACAGGAAATTATGGAGAGTTCAACTATCAACTTGGTCCGCTAAGGATATCCCTATAATTTTCTCGAAAACCGGAGAATTTTCCTATAATTTTCTCGAAAACCTAAGAATTTTCTAGAACGTACTCAAACACCTTAGAATTTCCTCGATTTTTTTTTTGAAAATTCGAGGTATTGTTACAGGGGAGGGTAGGGCAATATTTTCACCAGATTTAAATAACGAGTTGGATTTGATCAAATCTACTCTTCCAACTTCATTTGAAGATCATAAAAACCAACACATTCTCATGAAACTGCGTCGTAATAAGGAAAAAACAGGGTAAAANGGGTAGGGCAATATTTTCACCAGATTTAAATAATGAGTTGAATTTGATCAAATCTACTCTTCCGACTTCATTTGAAGATCATAAAAACCAACACATTCTCATGAAACTGCGTCGTAATAAGAAAAAAACAGGGTAAAATGGACACCTCGATTTCTTCCTCAATTTTTTATGTTTCAACAATTTTAATTTTTCAAATTGAAAAAAAAAACTTATTTTTGGCGTTCGTCGTGGGGGGTGGTACATCAAATTTTTTCTTGCTCATTCACCCTCCTCTCCGCCTATTGTTTTATGGTGATTTCCTCTGTGAGTAGAAAAGTAGCCATCTTATAAATTTCGCAATTGAACAAAAGGTCAGATCAATGTCAGAGTAGGGCGTGCAATTGATCATTGAAAAAAAATTAATAATTTCAAAGTTATTTCAAGAGTAAAACAGGAAATTCAAAGCTACTTTATATTTCAAACTTCAATGGAAAATTTAATAAAGTCGAAGTTTGTTTGTTAATATCTTTCCCAACTCTAATTTTTCTTTATACAAAGATACCGACACGATTCTGTTGGAAAATGTCCTTTAAAAATTTTCTTTATTTTGGAATAGGACCAAATTTTTCGGATGTCTATTTTACCCCACTCTTGAATAATTTCTAAGTTGTGGACTTTTCCAAGAAACTATTTTTAAAAATCAATTATTGAAAATGTTTTGAGTGTTCATTTTAGTCCTGTCCGAACAGATTTATCAGGTGTCCATAATGCCCAATGAATCAATTTTTAAAATTTTGGATTTTGAAAAAAAAATTTTTTTCGCCAATTTTTGAGTGTCCATTTTATTTCAGTTGTCCATATCACCCCGCCCCCTCTAATTTTTTCAAAAACCGGAGAATTTTCCTAGAATTTTCTCGAAAACCTAAGAATTATCTACAGCTGTCTCGAAAAACCAAGTTTTTTCTGGAATTTTCTAGAAAACTGAAGAATTTCTTCGAACGTGCTCGGAAATCCTAGAATTTCCTCGAATTTTGTTTGAAAACTCTAAATATCCTTGTAATTTTTTCGAAAACTGGAGAATTTTTAGGAATTTTTTCAGAAACCGGAGAATTCTCTCGAAAATCGGAAATATTTCTCGAAAACTTCATAGGAAATATGAGAAGCTCTACCGGAAAAAATAAACACGAACAGAATAAGAAACAAAAAAGNCAAACAAAAAAACTTAGAAAATTTGAGCCGAAGAAATTTCAATGGAAAATATTTCAATAGAATAAGTTGTATAGAAAAATCGAGTCATATTGACTGTTTATAGGATATTTTCTATTGAACATTTTAAAAGAAACGGCCAAAAACTACTGGAATTTCTACAGAAAACCAATAGAATTATCTAACGAAATCGCTAAGTTTTTCTATTAAATTTTGTCATACGTGAAGCGAGGACAGAGATCTATGGGTTGATTTTTTTTGCATTTAGAATTGGCCCATCTGCACAAAGCGATTGTGGGCGAATTTTGGCTAGTTACAGCTAGCAGGGGGAAGGAGGGAATGCAAATTTGGATTATTGCAATCGCTTGGTGGTTCGAAGGTGGTCAAAGGTAGTCCACTTTTAGCTTTTTGGTGGTAAAAATCAATTCCTTATAAATAATCATAAATTTCACCTGCAGCCAGCAGGAGGGATGCATCTTTTTGAAAAACTCAACATATGAATTTATATGTAGAATCCTGTGGTGGTCAAAGGTGGCCGAACACCAAATTCATCCGTTCATTTTTTCAACTGATAATAAATAATGTTTATTGGGTCTGTCTTACCGAGAGGTACTCCCCCCACCACTTCCCACTCCGGGCCCTTTAAATCATTTCGGAGCACGTTTGAAGGTTACAAAATCTACAGTGCTAGAATAGTATATCACGCAACAAGTGCGTAATGGGTTTTTCGGCTCGTGGGAAGTTGTAAAACGAGCCGAAGGCGAGTTTTACAATCCCACGAGTCAAAAAACACCATTACGCACGAGTTTCGTATACTATTTTATGTCATAGGGCCCAGAATCGCGTGATTCTGGGCTCCTATGGCATAAAAATCAAAAACCATCACTTTCTATCATATTATAAAAATTATGAAAAGATCTAAATGCAAAGAATAGAATTGTGTGACTGAAAATACCAAAGAATTCCTCCGAGTTATAATCACCAATACATGCCTTCAGAATAGAAATTATGATGTCAAATCGAATGATGAATTCAATCTTTGTGTGTCAGAATCTTATTAGTAGAAAGTGCCGTTGCTTATCCGATGTCTAAAATCAGATAGACCGTCTTCCGATATGGACGCTTATTTTATAAAAAAATTGTTTTTCAGAATAATGAAAGAGTGCCTCAATGACATGGATTGGAATATACTAGGGATATGCTTCTAGATCAATTGAAATTTTATATTTCTTGAAGTTCATATATTCTCACCGCAGAGGTATTGGAAAGAAATAAAGCAAACTGGGTGAAATGAGATGCAGGTTCAATGAATGATTTTGAACTAGACGAAGCCAGGATCGGCTGATGAGGGTCAAAAACTATGGAAGCGATTGAAAATTCCGGAATATTACGAGAGATGATCACGGAAGAAAACTAATTCTCTATCGAAACAATTTTTGGAGATGTTTCACCAGACCCACCGATCTTTGAAAGTCTAACAAATTCGGCAGAAAATGATTTTCACGCTGTGCATACTGCATTGTTTGCACTGTATTATTTCACACTCGGTTTCACCGTCCTGAAAAATCTTCCTCATATATTCCTGAAACTTATGGTTTTTCATCCAGCTGTAGAGACCTTTTGTGTCATGTACTAAGCTTTTGAAAACAAAAAAATAATAATGGGACTGGTATTTCTTCCTGAACCCTTGCTTCCTCGAGATGAGTTTCTAATCACATTTTACCCTGGAACAGCGTCGAGATGGTCACTACCACTAGCATAATACAGCTGGAGCTTCCTCTTCTCCTGGTGCCCGTGAATCAACGGAATGAAAAAGTGATGGCTCTAAATGAATAATTCCTTTCAGGATTCACGTCATCTTGTATATGTATACTGGTCAGGTGGTTCAACTCCTTGATGAAATTATTCTGGAGCTGTCACATGGGTTCAATCAGTCTTGAACAGGTGTGATTGTACTACTACTGTCGATCTAAAAAACATAGGAGCGGGGAAAATGATTTGTCATTTATCGTTGCATTTTTTTCGATCATCATCTTCTCAGTGTCACTTCCACACAATTTATTACGATTATATTCAGACGAATAATGCTCCGTTATAAGTTCAATTATGTTTTTTTGTAGTATTCACTCCACGTTCATTAAAAAAACACAAATTGAATAACAAAAGAACTCAAGTCTGAGAATCTTATTCATTAAACCAATTTTCTAACCTCCAAACGTGCTCCGAAATGATTTAAAGGGCCCGGAGTGGGAAGTGGTGGGGGGAGTACCTCTCGGTAAGACAGACCCGATAAACATTATTTATTATCAGTTGAAAAAATGAACGGATGAATTTGGTGTCGGGCCACCTTTGACCACCACAGGATTCTATATATAAATTCATATGTTGAATTTTTCAAAAACATGCATCCTTCCCGCTGGCTTCAGGTGAAATTTTTGATTATTTATAATTAATTGATTTTTACCACCAAAAAGCTAAAAGTGGACTACCTTTGACCACCTTCGAACCACCAAGCGATTGCAATAATTCAAATTTGCATTCCCCCCTTCCCCTGCTAGCTGCAAGTAGCTCGAATTTTCGCCTGGCCCTGGTTAATCATTGTTGTTTCTATGTTATTTTGTTGTTGAAAACGTTGTCAGGACTCCACTAACGATAGAATATGTCATGAGAGTAATTGACGTTTCTTATCTTCTGTTTCTTTTAGGCAACCAGGGAAGCTGGAAGAGATACCTAAATGGACACGTCGTAGACATCAATACCCAGATGGCTATTCAAAAGGAAAAAATCATTGAAATCTGGAACGGAGGAAGAGAGATTTAAAACAAAGCACAAAAATTGTGGCTGAGATGGATACTCGCCAACGTCCAGTCTAAAAAAACGAACAAAAAATGATGATAAAAAAACAACATTTAGAAATAATGCAGGAATAAAAACGATTGAGTGTAATGTCATGACATTTTTTAAACTGTATGTGCTGTTGTCAATTGGGTAGGAGTGGGTCATGTCAGGGAGTCCATAGGGGAGTTCCTGATCCAAAAAGAAGCTGGTGATGTCTCTTGGAGCATTCGTTCTCGAGATAATCAGTGGAACCGAATCTTGGACAGAAATGTGATTTCGTGGGGTTTTCGAGGTAATCCTGGGGCAAAACGGGTTCATAAAGGGTGAGTGGGATTGGAAATTTTCCTGGCTTCATTATGAATTCTAATTTGAGGTTCTCACTATTGAAGTTCTTGAGAGGATCTAAATTCTATGGACATTTTGGGGAATCGAATTAAACTTCTTGACATTTTTTTTGGAATTCTGGGGGCAAGGGGTGGGGGTTGATCATGTCAGAGAGTCCATACGGGAGTTCCTGATCCAGAAAGAAGCTGGTGATGTGTCGGAGCATTCTTTATCGAGATAATTAGCGAAACCGAATCTTGGACAGAAATGTGATTTTGTGGGGTTTTGGGTGGAATCCTGTGGCAAAACGGGTTCATAAAGGGTGGGTGGGGTTGGAGATTTTCCTAGCTTCATTATGAATTCTCATTTGAGGTTTTGACTATTGTAGTTCTGAAGATAATCGAGNAATCGAAATTCTACGGCCGTTTTGGGGAATTGAATTAAACATTTGAAATTTCCAGAAAATTTTATTTAATTTTTTTCTGACCCACTTAGCCCAGATCATTCATTTTGGTAGTTCATTCAATTCACCCCTGAATTTTGTGAAAATGCTTAGTCTGTCAGATGTTTCGCCCGATATCTGCAACAAAAATTTGCAAAGATCAATATCTTTCTCTGCAAATGGAAGAAACTTGCAGAATTCATTTAATTACAGATAAAAGCCTTTGTCAGTTACTTTACACTCTAACAAAAATAAACAAACTGTTCAATAGCCAAAGTGGTTTGGGAAATACTATAAAAAGAAAAGAGAAAGTGTTTCTGATAGAATCTGTCTAAATTAAAACTTTCAAATATTATTATTCTTTTATTCTCATATTCAATCAATGAAAAAAAATTGAGGAAAGTTTTCTAAAGAAAATTTTGCCAGCAGATTTTGTTTCTACTGAAATGATTTTAGGAATTGATGTGAAAAGACCTCTTATGTAGTTGATAAAATATTCATAAGAAATCTTTCTCTTTTCACTTTCCCCTTTAAAATCATTCGTTACTAAAATAATTGAAGACTTGCCAAGACGAATACCTTGATTTCTCTTAGCTATAAGCACCATGAAGGTGAATATCATAAATATATTCAGGTGAATTATTCAATTCTTTCTCGCATCCAATGGCTTGTGATTATTTTGTTTGTTTGTTGATTCAATTCACTATAGAGCATCTGATCGAAATTGTCAGTTTCTTCTCGATGTTTCGCTCCCATATGTGCAATGTAAATTGACAAGAATGGATATTTTAAGAATTCTGCTAAAAAAAAACTTTATCAGTTACTTTACATTCAAATGAAATAAACAAACCCTTTAACAAAAAAAAAATCGTTCAGAAAATTTCATGAATAGCAAATAGAAGTTATTTCTGATAGTCTGTCTGAATCAAAAGTTTCAAATATTATTATCCTTTTATTTTCATATTGCATCAATAACAAAATTGAGAAAAGTTTTCATTCAACAATGATATTGTCAATAGATTATGGAATGCGTAATTTTCGGAGTTTATGTTAAGAGACTTCTGTATAGTTGAGAAAATCTATGGCAATCTGTCTTTTGACAATTTCCCTCTCCAGAATAACTCATTCTCAAAATGATTGAATATTTACCGAGACGAAGAAAATACAAAATACTCCAATACTTGCCAACTCATCAGCACCGTCAGTGATAATTAAATACATATATTTTTCTAAATTATGCAACTTTTTTCCTACACCCACTGTGCTCCGGATATTTACTTTGTTTTTGTTATTGTGGAGGTTTGAGTTGCCGTTGCCGGCATTGAAAATCCGTCCAAATTCCCCCACTCTACCCAATCACTGGAGCACGAACTAAAACACCATCGAGGTACGAACCGCTCGTTCGTTTCGGTCCTATACTCCGTGCAATCCAACATTGCCAACCAACGTCTAGTTACTCCCAGAACTTAATTTGACGACTGTACATACGAGGACTCTCTATCTAAGTTACGCACAGTACCCGAAATAGGTGGCGCTGATTAGCATGTATGTCATGGTTACACATGCTCAAATCTTGATTGGTGCCACCAACGAGCTGCGCAAGAGGAGAAATTTTGAGTGACGTCAACAATGACTTTTATCTCATTTCACAACAAACTTAATTCAATCAATAATTTCACTAATCATTTTCATTATTAACAGGGTAAATAGAGAAAAATAATTATTGCTTCTATCACAAATAACGATGAAATCTTTATTTTATTAAACAAATAGGAAGAATCTAGGGGAATAGTTTGCAATTTGTAAAAACTAAGGAAATATTGTTAATGCTTGGCAGAAATTGCGCTTAACAATGTAAATTGACTATATTATTTTTCCAAAGTTTGCAACGATGTGTATCATTATTAATCCAACAAACAGATAATTAAATAATGATTAATTTCTTTTTTTTTGCATTTTTCGTGCAAAATAAATAGGTATTACATTCTGTTCCTCAATTTCACATAAAAATATTCCATCATAAGTACTTCAAATTTATTCGTATTTATTAATCCTGTTTATCTCAGCAACTACGGAGAAATCCCCTGAACGCTGATCCCCATAGCTGTTCCCTCATCCAGAAGTTTCTGTTTCACCTTCAGCTCCTCCGCTTTCCTCGCCGGTTTAATGTACACGCAGTAATTCCATCCAATGTAAGAGATGTCAAGTATACCAGCAACTGAGAGACCGATGCAGGCCCATATTGTTACATGATGTATTTTATCGAGTAGTAGTCTCGTCTTTGGCAGGCTCTTCATTATCAGTGAGATAATGAATTTTGTTCACTTTTACTTAAATTTTATTTGAACAATACGAAGAACCTCTTCTTTGAGAACAATTTATTTTTCAGGTTAGATATTATTCTTCTTGATCGACTGACGGTAAAGATTTCACCATACATTCATATGTAGTTTTACCCTACGTCATTTTGTGGTTGTCGAGTGACAATTCCAACGTCAGCATTGTAATTCTTTCTCATTTTAAATAGATAATAAAAGAAGTATTTGTTTCTAGGATTTTTATTCTGGGGGATGAATTATCAATATGATAAGTCTCAGGGATAAACAAATACGTGAGTAAAATCATTGTAGAATTCACATCTGGAATACTTTAAAAAATTTTCGGCGATGAAGTATGGATGTTGGTGATGCATTATTCATTGAACTTTGATGTGATTATTTCCTGCAGATGCCTTGAGGCAAATGCTGAATCTAAACCAGCAGGAAACGAAATCTAATACGACGGTCCCTACCTGGAAGATTTTGATTTATGACCGAATGGGACAGGACATTATTTCTCCTTTGATTTCCATTAAGGAGTTGAGAGAACTGGGAGTCACTTTACACATGTAAGTTCAGATTTTTTCCATAAATATGGTCGGTTCATTGATTAGTTACGAACTACTGAAGAATTGATGGATAAAGATCGTTTGGGAGAGATAAAATAACAATAATTCATACGGAGATTGATTTTTACATATTTTGGGATTGAAGACGTTGGGAAAATCTGTAAAGGGCAATTTTTTATAAAAATCAATCAAATTCCCGAAGGGAGACATAACTTGAAGGATCCTGACTCTTTTCTGATATGGTCAAGTGGTTTATTATTTAGGCGAATATCTCTTAAATTATTAGATTTATGCAAAAATCTACAGAAGACTAATTTTTATAGTTTATGAACGTTTCTGAAAAAAAAATTCTCTCAACAAATTGTCCTTGTTTCATGATTTTCAATGTCATCTCAGTCTCGACCCATGGTTGTTTTTTTTCTAGGCAACTACATTCAGACAGAGATCCGATCCCGGAAGTTCCAGCAATTTATTTCTGTGCCCCAACTGACGAGAACCTTGGTAGAATCGGCCAAGACCTCCAGACTGGCCATTATGACATTTACCATGTCAACTTTATATCCCCAATATCGAGAGGAAGAATGGAGGACTTAGCTTCTGCAGCATTGATGGCCGGAGCCGTGGCTAACATCCACAAAGTGTTCGATCAATACCTGAATTTTATTACTCTAGAAGACGATCTGTTTGTTTTGAGGCACCAAAACAGCGATATGATCTCATATCATGCGATAAACCGAGGGGAAATCAGGGACACTGAAATGGAGTCCATAATGGACACCATCGTCGAAAGTTTGTTCTCTGTTTTCGTGACATTAGGAACAGTTCCAATCATTCGGTGTCCCAGAGGCAATGCTGCGGAGATGGTGGCTAAAAAATTGGATAAAAAGTTGAGAGAAAATGTGTGGGACACCCGGAACAATTTGTTCCAGGGCGAGGCGACGGGACATTTAACATTCCAACGGCCTCTGCTGATTATTCTGGATAGAAGTATTGACATGGCAACACCTTTGCATCACACCTGGACATATCAAGCGCTTGCTCATGATGTCCTCGAGTTGGCGCTAAATAGATTAGTTGTGGAGGAGACTGTGGGGAAGTCACCTGCTGGAGGCGCTAGAGCTAAGACTAGGGCATGTGAGCTCAATAACAAAGATCGGTTTTGGCTGCAGCACAAGGGCAGCCCTTTTCCTAGGGTTGCCGAGGCTATTCAGGAGGAATTGGAGCAATACAGAGCTTGTGAGCATGAAGTCAAGAAACTCAAATCTTCGATGGTGAGCAATAAATATTGTTCAAATTATCGGGTAACTAAAAGTTATGATTAAAATGAAAATAATCTATAGATTTACAAAAGAGATGAGTGAATTTTACGTTGGATCAATTATTAACAAATATCTTGGGATTGAAGAAAAATGATTTACAACAGAAATTCCTGTGAAATTAGGCCTATTTGCTTGGGTTAAACACTCAAATCACCGCTTGAAACTTGTCTTACCTAACCACTGCACTATTAATGAAAAAATAATGAGAAAAAGTTGCATAATGACGAAAAATTTGGTGACTCGCCATATGTAAAGAGCCGACGAAAAGTATCTTCTTATAATTTGGGACTTCTCATTGCTTTTATCATCAATATTTTTTGCAATTGTTATCTTAGGGAACTGATGAAGAAGTTTCACCTTATCCCATGCTACAAAACAACACAGCTCTTCTCACAAATGCAGTCAACTCCTTGCCTCAATTACTAGAAATGAAACGATTAATTGATATGCACACCACGATTGCGACTGGAATTTTAAATGCCATCAAATCAAGGAGGCTTGATACTTTTTTTGAAATTGAGGAGAAAATAATGTCCAGGCAGACGTTAGATAGAAGCCTTTTGGACATTATCAATGATGCTGACTGTGGAACGCCTGATGACAAAATTCGATTGTTCATTATTTATTACTTATGCAGTAACATGCCGGATGCTGACTATAATAAATACGAGACTGCCTTATCGAACGCTGGATGTGATCTGAATCCTCTGGTGCATATTAAAAGATGGAGGTAATTCATAAAATATATGCCACTAAAAATTCGACAAAGATGCTCTCCATTTTACTTATTTTTGCAATGAAGTGACGAAACGGGACAATTCGTTTCTTCACATCCTTTCCGTCATAGAAGCATCAGTAATAATGCTCCAAGAACTGCAAGATGATCAGATTTTTCCTGATAGCTTCGTTACAAACAAACGAGAGCCATCACCGAGGGATCGTTCTTTTGTAGAGAAGTTTAAGGGAAATACTTGAATCATTTTAAAATTTGAGAAATACTTGCCGAATTATTTTCCCCAGCGGCATTTCGGTTAATAGAAGATGGCATTTGATGTTAATGCGGTTATTGCTCGCGAATCGAAGGTCTCTAAACGTTCAAATTGAAGTTTTCGATTTTTTGTTTTAGCTATTATGATCTCGAAGGTCGGAAAATCGCAATTTTCAGAGTCTGCCCATATTTGGGTGTATATGTGACAAATTTGTTCGTGAATTGCTCACTAACGCATCGATCGGAATTGATCGTTGTTTTTTTTCGAAATATAAATATTATCATGCTTTATCCACCAACATTAATTAAAATTCAATCTATATAATACAAATAATGTTCCAAATCAATTTAATGATGGCTTAGAAAAATGGTTTGGATGTTATTTCAAACATGTTTGGAGAAGAAGCTGGTAGTGATATTCATTGATTGGATTCATCCATTATTTTCAAAACTCTCGTATTTCGTCTAATAGATATTTTCGTCACAAGGCTGAAAAGAAAACTTTTCTGACGACTGTGAGGGATGTAGACCGAGGCGAAGCCAAGGAATGCAATCACACGACTCAGAAAAGTTGTTTCGGGCCGAGTGACGAACATGATGTTTCTTTACAATGGCCGTAAACGTCGTTGGACGAACACGAAGTGTCCGTAAACCGACGTTTTACGGACAATGTAATGAAAAACTAGTTTTTCAACGATTTCTTCAATGGTTCAAATTGATTCAATCGTAGCTAACAGAATTTTAGTAGCGAAGTGGGTACAGTGGTTTAAGTCGAATCAAGCAGGCGTTCGAGCCTATCCAACAGAATGCATATGACCGTTACTTTTTGTTTTATTAGTCTTTTCCTTTTTTTGGAGGTTGTGTGTGTGCGCGTGTATGTTAAGCATAAATTTTGGGAAATTTTTTATAAATCTCGATAAAAATAAGCAGGGGTTCGAGCCCATCTGACAGAAGGCATGTAACCGTTACTTTTTGCGTTATTAGTCCTTTTCTTTTTTTCATTTCTACCAATTCCATTGGTAGTAAGCTTCCGAATGGATCCGTAGCAATTCCCTGTCCTTGTGACAGGTATACAACCGTAACCACATGCTACAAGATGTCTACAGAAAGATATTCAACCTTTTAATGAAAGAGATTTGTACAAAAGGTTAAATTTCTCCGAAACTGCTCGGCCGATTGCGCCTATCCAAAATACGAATCTTCAATATTTTAAGAGCTGTAATCATACATTTCAACTTACTATTTTCATTTTTTCTCAAAATATCGTGCGTACAAGAATGAAAAAATTTTGAAAACGAAAAAACGAGAAATCTCTGATTTTATGTATGGACGGGTATACATATTTTGATTGATCTAGATGGTGGCCGCCGAGACAAGTATTTCGAAAAAAAAAATTGAAATCCGTCCAGTAGTTCATGAGAAATTTGAAGAAATATATTTACACAAAAGGTTGAATAACTCAAGAACTGCTCGGCCAATTGTCCCCATCCACAATACCAACCTTTCATGTTATAAAAGCTTGAAGCATACCAAATTTCAACTCCCTATCTCCATTTTTTATCAAGTTATCGTGTAAACAAGATGTTTCATAAAAAAAAAAGAAAAACGGCAATATCTTCAAATTTTGTCTAAACGAGTATATATATTTTGATTGATCTAGGTAGAGGCCTTCGAAGTGAGTATTTTGGAAAAAGAAATATTGAAATCGGTGGAGTAGATTTTGAGATATTGAGGAAAAACGAAATTTAGAGAAGTTGTTATATCTCAGGAATTACTGGACCCATCGGGCTGAAACTGCGTATCAAAGTGAAGCTTAATCATAGCTACCACGAGGCAAAATTTCAGACTTTTATCGACAAATTTCACCGTATTTATAATATGTTGAATTTTCTAAAAATTGATCACCAAAAACCCAAGTTATCACACACATACATACAGACTTGACCCTAAAAACATCATTTCTTCACGTTTCATAACATTCTAGACCATTTGCCATCAAAATTAGAAAATCGAAAAATGGCTCAAATAAAAGGCTTCNCAGGGGTTCGAGCCCATCTGACAGAAGGCATGTAACCGTTACTTTTTGCGTTATTAGTCCTTTTCTTTTTTTCATTTCTACCAATTCCATTGGTAGTAAGCTTCCGAATGGATCCGTAGCAATTCCCTGTCCTTGTGACAGGTATACAACCGTAACCACATGCTACAAGATGTCTACAGAAAGATATTCAACCTTTTAATGAAAGAGATTTGTACAAAAGGTTAAATTTCTCCGAAACTGCTCGGCCGATTGCGCCTATCCAAAATACGAATCTTCAATATTTTAAGAGCTGTAATCATACATTTCAACTTACTATTTTCATTTTTTCTCAAAATATCGTGCGTACAAGAATGAAAAAATTTTGAAAACGAAAAAACGAGAAATCTCTGATTTTATGTATGGACGGGTATACATATTTTGATTGATCTAGATGGTGGCCGCCGAGACAAGTATTTCGAAAAAAAAAATTGAAATCCGTCCAGTAGTTCATGAGAAATTTGAAGAAATATATTTACACAAAAGGTTGAATAACTCAAGAACTGCTCGGCCAATTGTCCCCATCCACAATACCAACCTTTCATGTTATAAAAGCTTGAAGCATACCAAATTTCAACTCCCTATCTCCATTTTTTATCAAGTTATCGTGTAAACAAGATGTTTCATAAAAAAAAAAGAAAAACGGCAATATCTTCAAATTTTGTCTAAACGAGTATATATATTTTGATTGATCTAGGTAGAGGCCTTCGAAGTGAGTATTTTGGAAAAAGAAATATTGAAATCGGTGGAGTAGATTTTGAGATATTGAGGAAAAACGAAATTTAGAGAAGTTGTTATATCTCAGGAATTACTGGACCCATCGGGCTGAAACTGCGTATCAAAGTGAAGCTTAATCATAGCTACCACGAGGCAAAATTTCAGACTTTTATCGACAAATTTCACCGTATTTATAATATGTTGAATTTTCTAAAAATTGATCACCAAAAACCCAAGTTATCACACACATACATACAGACTTGACCCTAAAAACATCATTTCTTCACGTTTCATAACATTCTAGACCATTTGCCATCAAAATTAGAAAATCGAAAAATGGCTCAAATAAAAGGCTTCCATTCGGAAGCAAAAAGGGATAAATAAATGGCGAAAAAAGATTTAGAAAAGGATAGGAATAATAAAAGAAAAGGAAGGACATGACAAAAAAGCAAAAAACAAAGGATAACAAGAAGGAATGAGTATAATTAGGACAAATTATCGTGAGTACAATCAGTTGAGATGAAAAAAGAAAAATTAGGAATACGTTGAAAATTAATTGAATAATTTTACACACAAAGTTGAGTATCTCAGGAACTACCGGACCGATATCACCCAGGAACAACACGAACCTTTGGTATTATAAGAGCTACAATCATACCAAATTTCAGCCTCCCATCTCAATTTTTTCTCGAGTTATCGTCCGAACAAATAATTTGAGAAAAAAATAGAAAATGGGGAATATCTCGAAAACTTTGTATGAAAGGGTATACATATTTCGATTGATCTAAATAGAAGACATTGAGACGAATATTTTGAAAAATAAAAATCAAATCAGTCCAATAGTTTTGGAGATATTGACCAAAATAGTTTTATACAAAAAGTGGAATATCTCAGGAACTACTGGACCGATATCGTCCAGGAACAATACGAACCTTTGGTATTATAAGAGCTACAATCATACCAAATTTCAGCCTCCCATCTCAATTTTTTCTCGAGTTATCGTCCGAACAAATAATTTGAGAAAAAAATAGAAAATGGGGAATATCTCGAAAACTTTGTATGAACGGGTATACATATTTCGATTGATCTAAATAGAAGACATTGAGACGAATATTTTGAAAAATAAAAATCAAATCAGTCCAATAGTTTTGGAGATATTGACCAAAATAGTTTTATACAAAAAGTGGAATATCTCAGGAACTACTGGACCGATATCGTCCAGGAACAATACGAACCTTTGGTATTATAAGAGCTACAATCATACTGTGATAACAGGAAAATTTTAATAACAAATTCAATTAAATATTAAATGCGTTATCTTTTATTTTCCTATTATCGGGATAAAATAATATTTTNGAAAAAAAAAATTGAAATCCGTCCAGTAGTTCATGAGAAATTTGAAGAAATATATTTACACAAAAGGTTGAATAACTCAAGAACTGCTCGGCCAATTGTCCCCATCCACAATACCAACCTTTCATGTTATAAAAGCTTGAAGCATACCAAATTTCAACTCCCTATCTCCATTTTTTATCAAGTTATCGTGTAAACAAGATGTTTCATAAAAAAAAAAGAAAAACGGCAATATCTTCAAATTTTGTCTAAACGAGTATATATATTTTGATTGATCTAGGTAGAGGCCTTCGAAGTGAGTATTTTGGAAAAAGAAATATTGAAATCGGTGGAGTAGATTTTGAGATATTGAGGAAAAACGAAATTTAGAGAAGTTGTTATATCTCAGGAATTACTGGACCCATCGGGCTGAAACTGCGTATCAAAGTGAAGCTTAATCATAGCTACCACGAGGCAAAATTTCAGACTTTTATCGACAAATTTCACCGTATTTATAATATGTTGAATTTTCTAAAAATTGATCACCAAAAACCCAAGTTATCACACACATACATACAGACTTGACCCTAAAAACATCATTTCTTCACGTTTCATAACA